TAAGGCAACAGGCTCCAGCCTCAGCGGGCACCAGCCAGGCCAGGCCAGCCTCTGCCTCCACCCTGTCCCCCTCCACCCACCACGGGCCTCCACAAGACCAGGACACTGGATTAGCACTCAGAGGAGCCGAAGGCATTGAGACATTCAGAAATGACTTTTCCAAATCCACAGCAGAGTCGGAAGTGGAATGCTGGCGCTCTGCTTCCCAGCTTCCACAAGGGGCACCCAGGAAGGCAAAGGAAGTGACCACGTGGGCCCGCTGGGATGTTGGGAGGTGACAGAGGCCAGCACAGCCCCTCTGGAGCCCCCTGTCTTCACTCCTTGGGAGGGGAACTGGGCCCTGCCAAGACTGAACTGCCCTAAAAAGGCTGTCAGGCACCTGGCCAAAGGCATGAATTGCCTTTTCCAGTCTCCAGGGCAGCTCAGGAAGCAACGGCAGTGGCCTTTTCCACCATGGCAATGCTGCCTGACACTCTGCCTCAGGGTGTCTGCCTGGCTTACACCCCAGGCCTCTCGTCCATCAGGCCACCTGTCAGCCACCTGCTTGGCACTCCTTCCCCAGACTCTTCCATTGCACACTCGCCTAATGCCCTGGTGCGAAGAAACAGGCTCTGGGCTTAGAGGCTGGTGTGTCCCTCCTGGGGGTCTGTAAGCCCATGGCCAGCAGACTCTCTGGGCATCCACAGACCCGTCTGAGCACACAGCGTGGACAGGAGGAGACGGCAGCACATAGCCAGCCACAGACGCAGATAAGTGGACCACCACAGGGCAACATGGGGGTCCCATCTATAACCATGCACACTGATGTGCAAGAGTCCCACAAACCAAGTGTTGAGCCAAGGAAGCCAGACCCGAGGGAGAATGTTCTGCATGGTTCCATGTGTATACATGTTTAAAAACAGGGAAAATTGGGCTAGGCACAGTGGCTCACATCTATAATCCCAGCACTTTGGGAAGCTGAGGCAGGAGGATCATTTAAGGCCAGGAATTCGAGGCCATCTGGGCAACACAGGGAGACCCTGTCTCTCAAAAACCAACCAACCAAACAAAACAGGTAAAATGAACCCAAGTGATGGAAGCCTCGAAAGTGACTACCTCTGCAGGAGGGAATGCCTGGAAGGGGCCTGAGGGAGCTTCTGGGGAGCAGTGGAGTGGACGTTCTGTCCCATGGTCAAGTGGTACACGGATCTCTTTTGCAAAGGGCACGAAGTGTCCACCTATGATATGTATCCTTCCATTCGTGCATATAAGTAAATGAAAAGGTACACATGGACAATCACGCCAACTTCCATTCTCCTTATCTCCCTCTTTGTATGATGATAAAAATCACAGAAGCCCAGTCTTAGAAAACAAGTTGAATGTCACCTAATCTAACTTCTGCACAGTTACCCATTTTAATTATCTTTGCCACACTCCCAACAAGTGTTCGCTTCAGCAAAGGAACTGCAGTGTCAGCCAAGACAGCCCTAATTCATTTACTGGACTAACCAAAGGAAATTGTTTCCACATTTTGCCGAAACCTGCCCTTCTGGGACTTCCACTCAGCTTCTGGATCCCATCCTCTGGGGCCTCTGGGAGGGAGCTCTCCACCAGGATAGGTATTCCGAGCACTTGGAAGAAGTTGCTGCATTCCCATGGCTACCCCTTCCTGCAGGCGCCACAGCCCCCGCTTCCCATCTTCTGGCATCTTTTTTTGTATTTTGGTTTGGGTCTTCTGAGGGCCCCCCAGGGGTTGTCAATGTCCCCTTTCAAGTAAGACACTTGGAGTTGAAGCTGATGTTCATTTTCTTGGCAGCCCCACAGCACAACGCTGTTAACAGACTGAGCCCACAGTCTTTTCTTCACACTTCTTGCTGTCAAATCCCATTTCCCAGATCCTGTTCTTAACTGTGCAGCTGGGCCTCTCTTTTCAGCTCAGTCCATCATTACGGTCTGTTGAGATCTTCTGGGATCTTCAGTCTGCTGTCAGCTGTATTCGTGTCATCTGTGAATCTGACCATTGTTCCATTAATAGCCTCATCTAAAACACTGGGCCTGCCCTCTCCAACCTGTGAGTGGAGACAGAACTCCAGGTGGCCGCAGGCTCTGCCTTCTGGGCACACTCTGATGGCCAGCAGCACCTTTTGATGATGAGCCCGCTTCATTCTATCCTCGTTCAGCTGCATTCCTTCATGCTGAACCCAGGCTATGATGACGGTTTCTACCAAATGCCCAGGAAACCTACCTACAGGCACTGCACAGTCCTCTATGTAGTATGATTCTGGCTGACCTGTGGAAAAGTAAGTGAAGTTTGCCTGGTATGATTTATTCTTAGGACTCCTGGAAACCAGTGTTTCCTTTTCAATGTATGTGCTCTCAAGCCATCCCCTGGAGAATGACAACGAGCACACCAAGCCTGCACATCAAGCACCACTGCCCCCATCTCCTGCAAGCCTTCCACCTCCCAAAGTCCCCATGGAGCCATGGCCCCATCTGCATGTGTCCCAGCAGCAGTGAGGCAGCCTCAGCTGCACAGTGAGGTCGGTCATGCAATCTCCCACCCTCTCTTAGGCTTTAAGCCCCTTCAACGGCCAATATTTGATTCCAGATAAAAAACTGTTCTCCTTGACAAAGACGACAGAAGCAAAACAGGAGTTACATAGTGTTGCTCTCTCTGCATCAGGGCTAACATTTTACTGTCAGCCCCAAACCGCACTCCTTGGTTCAAAAATAACTCCACGGGAACTCCTTGTACGGCCTTTGGCATTTCTCAACAAAACTCCCACTGGTCCGTGCCGTTTGTCCGGTTGCCTTACTTTGTACCTTCTTTCCAAACCTGAGACCATGCACAAGCTGTGAGGGGAGCCCCTGTAGCCCTTAATACCTCCCTCCTTTTCCTTACTGGATTCCTTTGTAATACACATTCAAAGTTTTAGTGCAAGATCTCCCAATCCACCTGAGGCATCTCTCTTCTTAGAATCTTTTTTTTTTTTTTTTTTGAGACGGAGTCTTGGTGTGCTGCCCAGGCTGGAGTGCAGCAGCACAATCTCAGCTCTCTACCACAACCTCCACCTCCTGGGTTCAAGCGATTCTCCTGCCTCAACCTCCTGAGTAGCTGGGATTACAGGCATGTGCCACCACAACCAACTGATTTTTGTATTTTTAGTACAGACGGGTTTCACCATGTTGGCCAGGCTGGTCTCAAACTCCTGACCTCAAGTGATCCACCTGCCTTGGCCTCCCAAAGTACTGGGATTACAGCTGTGAGCCACAGCACCCAGTCCTAGAATCTGCTTTTTTTTTTTTTTTCTTTTTGATGGGCCTGCTTGATGGGCCTGCAACAGGGGCTGCTCGAAGAGGAGATGTCTTGGCCTGAGCCTAGTCTTGAGGCTGAAGAGATGTGAACCAGGCAGCGGAGGAGGATGGGAAGAGGCCTCTCCAGGAGGAGGAGACAGATGCAGAAAAAGCTTAGAGGCAAGTGATCCTCTTGAGTTGGGGTGGTGGCCAAGTTCCAGGATGCAGCAAAAGCATGGAAGCCTGCAGGATGCAGGGTGCACCAAGGCCCCCCACCCCAGGCTGGGCTGTGGCATTTCACCCTGAGGGGAAAAGTCTGAAGGATTTTAAGCACATCAGCGATGTTAGTACATGAGCATCTGAAGGAAGGTCACACTCCCGGATGGCGCGGGGTGGAGCTAGTGGAAAGAGCCTGGAAAGACACGGTGTGATGCTCCGATGGAAACTCAAGGGTATTGGAGGAAGAGCTGCACTGAGACAGCAGCAGGGAGGGTGAGGAGGAGGGATGAGCACTATGGGAGACTGGGGAGCTCTGGGGCACCACATCTGTCCATAAGACTCCAGGCCTGGGCAGTGGGTAGGCGGGGGTGCCACTCGTGGAGCCATGGAAGACAGGGAAAGGGTCCTCCTGGGAAGGTGGTAGCTCCTGTTTCCCACATGCTGAATCCCAGACATTCGCCACACAGATTGATGCTCAGCAGAAAAGTCCAGCCACAGGTATTCATTAGGGAGCCGCTAGCATATGCCCGCAGTTGAGGCCTGGGAAACGGATAAGATGGTGTCTCAGGCTGACCTCCCTAGAAAGTAGGCTCTGAAATGACTATCAGTATGCAGGGAATTTATGCGGGAGACAGACAGACAAAGGAAGCCGGGCTGCCACGCATTCGCAGTGAAGGCCTCAGCCGACCCCGTGAGGACTCCAGAGCTGGCAAGGTCCTTCAGAGACGTCCTCAGCTAAGGCAACAGGGAAGACCTTCGTGACCCAGCATTGGGCTGCTGCCAGGAAAGGGGCCCAGCCCTGATAAGGTGACCACCTTTGGCAGAAGCGACTCCTGGCATGGGCTGGCAGGGCAACACCCTCAGCAGTGGGGAGAGCGCCTCAGTCCTGGAGCAGGGCAGGCTAGGGGCATCCAACACCGACTCCATGGGCCTGCGCCACAAGAGAAAGGGAGCTGGGGTGGAATCCTGAGGCTCACCAAGACTCCAGGGCTGGTGGGGGAGGGGCATCGCTGAGGGCAGCTGAGGAAGCCAGGAGGGGTTGGGAAGCCCAGGAAGGAAGTTCTGGCTGCTTGTCCGGAAGGGCCCAAGGAATCCCTGGTGATGCAGCAGCGTGGCTGGCGTACCTGTTGCCACAGGTGGTGTCTCCTCAGCTCCTGGCCCTTCGGGTCACTCAGACATCCTACCCTGCTCCTGAGACGGAGCAGCGTCCTCCCCAGCCACGTCCCCTTCCTGGCGATCGCAGCCTGTCTGACTGCCGCCCATCTTCTGGCTGCTGTCTGCCTCCTGCCCAGCCCAGGCTCCAGACAGGACCTTCATCTTGCCTCTTGTTCCTCTAGATTTGGTGCCCTTCTGAAATCTCCAGGTAGACTGGGCCTTGGCTGTCTCCTTCAAGAACATTTTGGCCTTACCCGCCCCCGGTGAGAACTCTCTACGATGCTCTGAGCTCTGAAGAATTCCACCTTCCCAAGGGTGGGCAAGACTCATCCAAAAGTGAGTGAGCAGTGGGGGAGGAAGCCTGGAGCTGCGGCAGAAGCGTGAGGGAGACGTGGGTGGAGATGGAATGGCTGTTTTAAGATGGGAGACACAAGAACACCTTTACTTGCTGCAGAGAAAGCTGGTGAACAAAAAGCAAACAGTACAAGAAGGGGTGACTGCAGAAGTTTCTGGGAGAGGCAGGACTGCTGGGATCCAGAATTAAGGGTGCGGTGCAGCAGGGAGGTGAGAACTGTGAGTGCACTGCGTTTGTGTGGTGGGGGTGGCTGTTGGCTGGGAGTGCAGAGGCCTCAGCAGCAGGAAGCATGGAATCTTCAGAGGTCCCCAGGAGGCTGGCCAGGAACTCCCAGTGGCTCCAGGCTGCCTGAAGGGGTCAGGGGCCGAGGTGGGGACAAGGGACATACATGGGGCATCACTCTGTTTAGCTGTGCAGTTTCAGGTCTGAGAGCAGGCAGGCAGGGAGTCCACAGTGGAGAAGGGTCCAGGAACCGACCTAGGGCCTGGCAGTAATGAGGGGAGTAGGGAAGGGGAGAGCCCACTGGCCCCACAGTGAGGACAGTGAACGAGAGTTGGAGGGAAACGAGGAGGGCTTCGAGGGAGGCCACAGTGCATCTGTGCCTGTCCCTGCTCTTATCTCTGGTACACAAGGACCTGACGAGTGTGAGGCTGCTCTTTCCCTAGCTGCCTTCATTTCCACTCCATCAGTCAGTTCTTCCTTGGCTGGCTGCTCCAGATATAAGAATGCTCAGAGGATCCTGGGGTGCTCCAGAATTCATGGGAAGATGGAGAACCTGGCTGAGGGACGTGGGGCAGCAGGGTCCCTGCCCAGAAGAGCCTGTGAGGACTTCTGTCCCTGAGTCCTCTCCTTGGGAGCATCCAAGTGGTTTGGCCTGGGTCTTGCTCCCAGAGGTGGAACAAAGGAGTGCCTGACTCCCAGCTTCTGTGCTGGGAGGGAGGCGTGAGGAAGATGCTTCCCCAACACAGGAAGGAAGCCCACACCCCCTGCAAACCTCAATGTATTCCCATCACAGGAACAGAGATCAGAAGAGAGCCAAACGTTGGCTTCTACTCATTCACTAAATGTTTACTCAGCGCCCGCGATATTCTAGTCCCTGCTCTGTTCTGGTGCTGGGGATGCAGTTGTAGGAGAGATGGAGGGAGCCCTCCCGCTCAGGGAGCTCACTCTCTCATGGGAAGGGCCAGGTCACAATTCACTTCTGGTCCTGGTAGTAGAAAAAAATGAAGAAAAGGGAGGTTCTGCAGAGCCTTGAGGTGGGAACACATTTGGAAAAAGGATCAGGTGAAGCCTCTCTGAGGCGATGACATGGGCAGAGACCATCATGATGGGAATGTGGGAGTCTCCTACCAACAGTGGGCATGCGGGAGCGTGGGCATCAAGACACGAGTGCCCAGTGCACCCCAGGGACAGGGAGGAGAAGAGCGGAGGGCAAGGCCACACTGCAAGGGGGCCTTAGTGGCCACCTCACCTCAGACTCCAGGTTCCTTCTAAGATGATGCAAAGTCTTGGAAGATTCTAGAGTAGGAAGTGACTCAATTGCTTATGACAGCTCTTTTATGCTTCAATGTTTTAGGTGTTATCATGATGTTGTAATTATGTTTTAAAATACCCACCAAGGGCTGGGCACTGTGGCTCATGCCTGTGACCTCATCACTTTGGGAGGATCACTTGAGCCCAGGGGTCTAAGACCAGGCTAGGCAACATAGGGAGACTCTGTCTTTACAAAAATTTAAAGAATCAGCTGGGTGGGGTGGTGCACGTCTGTAGTCCCAGCTACTCGGGAGGCTGAGGCAGGAGGATCACTTAAGCTCAGGAGGTTGAAGCTACAGTGAGCCTCAATGGTGTTACTGCACTCTGGCGTGGGCGGCAGAGATTGTCTCTAACAATTTTTAGAGACACCTACTGAATAAAATAAGAAGTCTTATCTGACCAGGCGAGGTGGCTCAAGCCTGTAATCCCAGCACTTTGGGAGGCCAAGGCGGGTGGATCACAAGGTCAAGAGATCGAGACCATCCTGGTCAACATGGTGAAACCCCATCTCTACTAAAAATACAAAAAAATTAGCTGGGCATAGTGGCGTGTGCCTGTAATCCCAGCTACTCAGGAGGCTGAGGCAGAAGAATTGCCTGAACCCAGGAGGCGGAGGTTGCGGTGAGCTGAGATGGCACCATTGCACTCCAGCCTGGGTAACAAGAGCAAAACTCCGTCTCAAAAAAAAGAAGTCTTATCATTTGCTTCACAATGATCTAGGGCAGGGGTGCCGGGCAGTGGGTGAAGGAAGGAGGAGTCTCCATGGCTGTGTCTGCTGAGATAGAAAATGGGTGCCTGGAGTCCATTTTACTATCCTCTCAACATTTGTATATGTCTTAAAATTATCTATAACCTTTTTTTTTTTTTTTTTTTTTTTTAGATGAAGTCTCCCTCTGTCTCCCAGGCTGGAGTGCAATGGCACAATCTCAACTCACTGCAACTTCCACCTCCTGGGTTCAAGCAATTCTCCTGTCTCACCCTCCTGAGCAGCTGAGACTACAGGTGCACACCACCAGGCCCGGATAATTTTTTATTGTATTTTTAGTAGAGATGGGTTTTCACCATGTCGGCCAGGCTGGTCTCGAACTCCTGACCTTAAGTGACCCACCCACCTTGACCTCCCAAAGTGCTGGGATTACAGGCATGAGCCACTGTACTTGACCAACAGAACTTTAAGAACTTATTAAATAGAAGTGATTTTGGCTATTTGTTAAGAACTGGGTGTAGGGGTAACAGCAGGAACTGGGAAGCTGACAGGGTCTTTAGAAAGGGGAAACAAGCCCAAGGCGACCAAAGCCACCCCTAATAACCTCACATCCAAAGATGACTTTTCTTTTCCCCTAACAACAGAACTAGCATCACACTTTATATATGGCTTCAAAGCCTTTTCTCCATTCAGCTTTATCTCATTAACTTTCTCATTTTCCTTTGATGTCATTTTTAGGTTCTATAAAATACCATGGGAGAACTGCACTGGTGGTGGGGCACTGAGGCAGTTTCCAGTTCCTAACACGACATCACTACGCCAAACATCCTCGTCAATGAAACTTCACTTGCTATCTAGTTCCCCGGAAAACAATCTAGTTTTTCGAAGGGTTTGCACATTTTATCATCATTTGCTTGATTTTGCCAAATTGGCCTCCAGAGAGACCACTGACTGCACCTTGTGAGCAGGGAAGCATATGTGTTTCCTCACATCCTGCCAACACGGGGCATGGCACTGACCTTTCAGATCCATTCCTGTCCGCCAGGCAAAGAACTCTATGTCATTGTCGGGGCTAGTTTTGAGAGCCATGTTAAGCAGGCTTCCTCCATTCCTCTATCTGACCAGGCAGTTCGCATGAGCTGGCTTCATCTGCCCTTCTGCTTTGAAGCAGCACATACAGGATGTTTAATCAACAGCCGCAGGCAGTGAAGGAAGAGGGTCCCCGGAGCCTGGGACATCAGCTTTCAGTGATGTGCGAGCCGCTGTGGGAGCCCTGAACAGAAGCAGGGATGGCATGCTGCTCTTCCCAGAGCTGCCTGAGCTGCCCTAGTGGGGCCACCTCCCAAGGTGGATTTCCCTTCAAGAACCTTCTCTTCCCCTTGGCTCTGTTTCGGTGGTCTGCCTTAGTATTCACTGTCATGTTCATGGTTGGGCCCAGCTCTTCCTTAAATCTGCAGTGCATCCATGAAGTCTTGAGCGCTGAGGCAGGGGCTGCAGGAGTACTGCACCAGTGTCAGCGGGAGCTCTTCCTTTGTGCTTAACCAGTCAGTCGAGTAGACAAAGAGTGTGACAGCCCCTCGTACAACAATCTGCCCTTCTTCGTGGGGTCAGTCTGGGCACAAAGCCCAGTGGGGCAGCCACCAGTAAAGGCAGCCAGCAAGCTCTGTGGCCGCCACGGGGAGCACAGTGGGGGCTCACTGAAAACCCACAGTGAGTACAACGCGGCAGGAAAAAGGAATCAGGAGCTCTTTACAACCCAATCAGGGATGACGGCCAAAACATACCCTGAAATGCAAAGACGGTGCGAGAACGGCGGATACGTGCACACGCGCACAGAGGCTGGCGACCTGCCAGGTGGCTCTGGCTCAGCGGAAGGGGCACATTTTCAACATCAAATTTGAAAGGAGTACTTTCAAAAGGGCACTCCTTGGTACCTTCTGAATTTTGTTCTATTTGCTTTTGTCTATTGAGAAAAGTAAAAATGCAATCAACAACACTGATCCCAATAAAGCGCCCTCCTTCCTAGTAAAGCTCTTGGCACAAAGCATCACCCTGCTGGCCTGGCTGCCTGAAAGGCAGGTGCAGGATGTTGTTTCATTCATTCCTTGGCATTTAAAGGGCAATTGCCACGGGCCCTGGAGCTACAGACAGATTCCACAGAAGACACTGATTCATGAAATCAGTTTAACATGGCTAACAGAGAGCGAAGTCATAAACTTAGGATATGGAGAAGGTAGCTTCAAATCTGTCTTGAAAGGATGAATCATTAAGACCAAAAAATCAGGCATGGTGGCTCACACCTGTGATCCCAGCACTTTGGGAGGATCAAGTGGGAGAATCACTTTAGTCCAGTGGTTCAGCTTGAACAACATAGGGAGACTTTGTATGAAAAAATTAAAAACTAGATGGTGTGGTGGCATGTGTTTGTAGTTCTAGCTACTAAGGAGGTTGAGGCAGGAGGATCGCTTGATCCCAAGAGGTCGAGACTGCAGTGAGCCATGATGGTGCCACTGCACTCCGGCTGGGTGATAGAGCAAGACCCTGTCTCAAAAACACAAAACAAAACAAAAGACAAAAAAATTGATGTTGGGTCCACTGGCTCTTTGGGGATGGAAAAAAAAGTTAGATCCTTATCTCATACGGAGGACAAACAGATTACAGATGGGATTAAGAGCTGAAAGAAACAAAGTTATGCAATCCTGAAAGAAAATAAACCACACTATTTTTATGGTCTTGGTGGGAACCCTTCCTCTTCCAAACAGAAAAACTAAATCACACAAAAATCCCAATCAATTCTCTGTATTATCCATATCCTGTGAATCTAAATCTGTTCTAAAATAAAACATGTATTGAAAAAGTAAAAAAAAAAAAATTCTAGTTCACTGATACCATACATAAAGATTTAAAATGGACAATTTATAACCTTCAGAGAAAACACATTGTAACATAATAAGCAACATGAAGATCAATACAGTTGTTAAGAAGATAAATTACCTGATAGAAACATGGGTAAGAAATACCGAAAGGTAGTTTACAGTAAGAGAAACACAAAAGTCCAATAAATACATGAAAAGATACTCAATTTCAGGTCTGGCGCGGTGACTCAAGCCTGTAATCCCAGCACTTTGGGAGGCCAAGGTGGGTGGATCATGAGGTCAAGAGAACAAGACCATTCTGGTCAACATGGTGAAACCCCGTCTCTACTAAAAATCAAAAAATTAGCTGGGCATGGTAGGGCGTGCCCGTAATCCCAGCCACTCAGGAGGCTGAGGCTGGAGAATTGCTTGAACCCAGGAGGCGGAGGTTGCAGTGAGCCGAGATTGTGCCATTGCACTCCAGCCTGGGCAACAAGAGCGAAACTCCGTCTCAAAAAAAAAAAAAAAAGATACTCAATTTCATTGGCAATCAGGGAAATGAAAATTAGAACCATGGGATACCATTTTCTACTCATTACATTGACTAAAACTCAAAAACAAAACTGAGAATATGTAGCATTAATGAGAATGCAGAAAAATATGCATTTTCATACCCATTTGGTGGTATTACTAATAGGTCCAGCTTAACATACTTTAGGGTTGCAATTTCACTGCAAGGAATTTATCCCATAGAAATATCTGCCCAGATGCCGAAGGCTCAAAATAGTCCCTGGAAGAATGTCCGGTATTAGTAGATGATAGTGGCGCACACACTAGGGAAATACTATGCAGGTATGAAAAAGAGTGAGGTTTATTGTGTGTGTGAGAGAGAGAAAAAGAAAACAACACAAACACCATGGCTTGGATGGAGCAAATGAGAAACTGCTGGACGAGGGGGGCTGGGGGCCAGCCTAAGAATTTGGACCTGGCCCTGCAGGCAGTGGGGAGCAGGGCAAGACAGAGACGTGATCATCACAGGAACCCACAGAGCAGACAGACTTTGGGGAACAGGAAGAAACAGAACGCCCCCAACCCCCTCCAGGTGAGCTAGTGAGATGAAAGCAGGAAAGGAGGTGACTGATTTACATAACCCAGACATGGTCCTGGCTGTCATGGAGTTGGATTTAGGGTTTAGGATATAGAAGGCACAAAGGATGGTATTTAGGAATGAAGGGGGTAATTTCTGGCTGGTGCAGTGGGGTAGATGGACAGTTTGGGAAGAACAGGGAATCAGGAGGCAGGGTCAGCCTCTCCATCCCATGAAGAAATCCCAGACTGCTGGGGTACAGGCAGCTTCCCGCACTGAGGCCTGTGGAGTCCCCTGACAGAGCTTCCAGAAGTTCCATTCTTTCAGAGAGAGGGTAAAACCTGCCTTCTCTGAACTGCACAGGCTGCGTCTCTGCCAGCCAGATTCCCAGGAAAGAGAAAAAGAGATGGGACTCCCCACTCAGCACTGAAATGGAGGCCAGGACAACCGAAGGTGACTTACTCGGTCAACAAGCAGAGCCTCTGTCAGGCTGGGCCCTGGGGTGTGAGGCGATTCAAACTCCAAGCCTGCTCCCAGAGGCCACCCTCTGAGCATTGCAGGGGAAGGGGTCCCAGTGGAGGGTAATGCAGAGGTATCTGCCAAAGGTGAAGGGTGGGAAGCATCATTATAGTCGTGAGGAGCTGCAAAGGGACGGGCCCAGAAAAAGAAGGGAAAAGGGAGAGAGAAGAGGGAGATGAAGGGATGGGAGTGGTCTGCTCCTGGGATGGGCAGGCAATTCTCTAAGACTGTGGCCAAAAGTGGAAGAAGAAAGGTGGAGAGAGGAGAAGGGCCAGACCCAGCCAGCGCGCCTTAGCTCCTCCTGGGCTGTTTCTTTACTCACTTCATTGATTGGAAAAGAATTTACAGAGCACCAAACAGCATGCCAGGCACTGTTCTAGATCTGGACGATATGACAGTGACCCTGACAAGGCAGCTGCTCTGGTGGTGACAACTTTGAAGACAGCCAGAGCCATAAACAAGGAAACTAACAGTAACATAATTGCTGGCAGAGGTAAATGCTAGGCAGAAAAGAAAATGGAAGGATGAATTCAGAGTGTGGGAGCGGAGCGGAAGTGGGGTGGTCAGGGGACAAAATTGGGCTGAGGTCTGAATAACAAGAAGGAGCTGAAGACTTAGGAGGGAGCCCCAAACAAAGGAGGGCGGGGCACTGCAGGCAGGAGCTAACTGCAGAAGGCAATTGTTTTGCTAATAAGACCATGTTAAGAAAATTAGGCTTTTTTTCATTTGTAAAGAATCATTAGTGAGTTTTATTTTTAGTTCTCCCTCCTGGGGATTAGAAATTGGGCGGGGGCGGTTTGTTGGGGCTGAGGGGGAGGATTCTGGATCCCTGCAAGACCCTGAAGAGATGAGTGTGAGAGGGAGGTGGCGGAGGAGCTGTACGCACCTGCTCCGAGAGGTCACATCCGGGAAGAACTGCACGAGGGCCAGCAGGTTGTGGTGGTGGTCGGACACCCAGCTCAGGACGCAGCACAGTTCCTGGAGCTGCAGGTGAGGGGCACCCCGTGGGCTGCAGGAGGACGCCACCTTCCCTTTTGCCCTCGCCACCCAGCCCGCACAGCACAGGGGAGTAAGTGGTATTCCGGGGCATTCCGATGACCTCCAGGCAGTGCCATCCCCACTCAGGGCACCCTAGGGGCTGCCTCAGTCCCTAGTGACAAAGCTGTATGAGGACCAGCCTCTGGGTGTGGTACCTTTCCTGGCCACTCCTGGATGTTCTCCAAGAGCAGAAACAGAAGCTGCTGGAGGTCGGTCTTGGGCAGCAGGCAGAGCCCCACATCCAGGCCGGTGCGGCACAGCAGCTCAATCAGGTCCATGAGGTTCTCATCAGTGTAGGCCCCCGGCTGGGCCTGGGCACATAGCGACAGAAACTGGAGAGAAGGAGAAGAGGGCAGGGGTGGCCAGGGCATGGGGGAAGAAGAGAGGACATCGAGGACCTGGGAGACACTTGGGCAGGAGGGACGGCGCTGTGAGCCTGAGGCCATGTTGGATAGGAGCTCAGGAAACAGTGAGGCCAGGATTCGGGGCCCCTGCAGGGTCCTGAGTGGCAAGCACAGGTGTGGCAAGTGAGCTTGTCAGAGGCGTTTGAACCAGAGTGACTCCATCTTGAATAGGGACTGGGTAAAATAAGCCTGGGACCTACTGGGCTGCACTCCCAGGAGGTTAGGTATTCTTACAGGACAAGATACAGCTCACAAAGACCCCGCTGGTAAAACAGGTTGCAGTAAAGAAGCTGGCCAGATCCCACCAAAACCAAGATGATGACCAGAGTGACCTCTGGTCAGCCTCACTGCTCATTATATGCTAATTATAACGTATTAGCATGCTAAAAGACACTCCCATGAGCACCATGACAGTTTACACATGCCACGGTGATGTCATGAAGTTGCTCCATATGGTCTAAAAAGGGGAGAAACCCTTAGTTCTGGGTTTTGAGCAATTCTTCTGCCGCAGCCCTCCAAGTAGCTGGGATTACAGGCACATGTCTCCATGCCTGAATAATTTTTGTATTTTTAGTAGAGACAGGGTTTCACCATGATGGCCGGGCTGGTCTCAAATTCCTGACATCAGGTGATCTACCTGCCTTGGCCTCCCAAAGTGCTGGGATCACAGGCGTGAGCCACCCTACCCTGCCTATTCTTTTTTTTTTTTTTTTTTTTTTGAGACAGAGTTTCGCTCATTGCCCAGACTGGAGTGCAAGTGCAATGGCATGATCTCGGCGCACCACAAACTCCACCTCCTGGGTTCAAGCACTTGCTTCTCCTGCCTCAGCCCCCTGAGTAGCTGGGATTACAGGCAGGCACCGCCACACCTGGCTAACTTTTTTTTTTTTTTTTTTGAGATAGAGTCTTGCTCTGTCGCTAGGCTGGAGTGCAGTGGCATGACCTCAGCTCACTGCAACCTCTGTGTCCTGGTTTCAAGCAATTCTCCTGCCTCAGCCTCCTGAGTCGCTGGGCCTACAGGCATGCACCACCAAGCCCAGCTAATTTTTGTATTTTCAGTAGAGATGGGGTTTCACCATGTTGGCCAGGTTGGTCTCATGACCTCATGATCTCTTGACCTCATGATCCACCTGCCTCAGCCTCCCAAAGTGCTGTGATTACAGGCATGAGCCACCACGCCCAGCCATTTTTTGTATTTTTAGTAGGGATGAGGTTTCTCCATGTTCATCAGGCTGGCCTCAAACTCCTGACCTTGGGTGATCCGCCCACCTTGGCCTCTGAAAGTGCTGTGATTACAGGCGTGAGCCACCATGTCTGGCCTCCTTTACTTTCTTAAGAAACTTGCCTTCATTTTAGTCTATAGATTAGCTTCTAACTCTTTTTTTCTTTCTTTCTTTTTTTTTTTTTTGAGACAGTTTCTCTCGTTGCCCAGGCTGGAGTGCAATGGCACAATCTCAGCTAACTGCAACCTCCACCTCCCGGGTTCAAGAGAGTCTCCTGCCTCAGCCTCCCAAGTAGCTAGGACAATAGGTATGTGCCACCATGGCCAGCTAGTTTTTGTATTTTTAGTAGAGACAGGGTTTCACCATGTTGGCCAAGCTGGTCTCAAACTCCCAACCTCAGGTGATCTGCCTGCTTCAGCCTCCCAAAATGCTGGGATTACAGGTGTGAGCCTGGCCTCTTTTTCTTTTCTTTTCTTTTTTTTTTGAGACAGAGTCTCGCTCTGTCACCCTGTCAGGCTGAAGTGCAGTGGCACCATCTAAGCTCACTAAAACCTCTGCCTCCCAGATTCAAGTCATTCTTTTGCCTCCTGTAATCCCAAGTAGCTGGGATTACAGGCGCCTGCCACCACACCTGGCTAATTTTTTTTTTATTTTTAGTTGAGATGAGGTTCCACCATGTTGGTCAGGCTGATCTCAAACTGACCTCAAATGATCTG